GAGCCAGAAGATCAGAGGCGTTCGGACACCAGCCAATCATAAAGTGCCTGAGTAACGACAATCAGCAGAAATCACACCAACATTAATGATCTGAAGAAGGGTTCCCACGCCGTGCTGCGGCGCCGCGTCACGCCCACAGGCGGACGCGTTCCCTGGCTTCCTTTAACGCCGCCATGCAGACTTTGGTACCGAGGAGCTTCCTGCAAAGCTGCTTCCTGGTTTGTTTGGCACGAGAAACACAGAATACTGCCATAGAAAAACCGCCGTCGAAATATATACAGATAGACCCTCATCGCCACGAAAGTTTGGTTACAGAAGAGGCGTCCTCCGTGACCCGGCACGGAGACGCAGCACCAGGACAGGCGTTCCTCGTCGCCCGCTTCCCTGATCGCCCTCCCTTTAATGGAGTCCATTAAACCAGGGGGAGACGACACGAACGTGTTAATAAGCAAAGGCAGAAGGTCATGGAGGGGCGACCTATCGGGTTAATCTACGGTCCGCCTGCTGCGCTAATGACAGACAGCTACAAGCTACAAGCTACTGGTTGGATAAATAAGTGGCAGGGCAGGTCAGACTGGGACCAGTGGGTTCTACACGGTGGTGGGCAGAGAGACGTCCTCGGCCGACTCCATCTTCTGCTCCGGCGAGCGGCACAGGAAGAGGCGGCGGCCCAGGCTCTTGAAGGCGAATCGGAAGTACATCAGGTGACCCATGGCCACGAAGGACACGGAGATGATGACCAGCAGGCCGAAGGCCTCCGGGTTGGGCGCCAGAATCACCATGATGAAGTGCAGCAGGTCCAGCAGGTAGTTCATGGAGTTCTGGACGCCGTTGATCACGCCTCGCTCGGACTCCATCACGTTCTCCTGGATGAGCTGCGTCACGCTGAGATCAAAGGACCACAGACCTGCAGGAAAAGCAAGCGTTTAGCAAGCGGGAGCCGCAGGGCGCGTTAATGGCTTCAAAGGTCGCAGATATGACTCCTTCCTCTGGAGGAGGTCACAGTCCCACCGCCTGCGCTTTATGGTGACAGGAAGTGAAGCTGCCGACGCAGCGGATTCCTAACAGGAACGTTTACCTTTAATGAACCATCAGACGATAAATCTGAAGGACTTTGGTTTATTTCCAGGTTTCCACTCACCGACTCGGGCAGCGATGACGCCGGCGAACAGCAGGCTGACCGACATGTAGGACTGCAGCGGCGGCAGCTCCTCTGGCGGCGGGGCGCTGGTGACGTTTCCCCCCAGGGCGCCGGTAAGCCCGTGCTCGGCCTCCGGCAGGGTCTGCTCCCCCATCAGGTGGCTGTAAAGGTCCTGGAAGGGCGAGACGCTGAGGTCGAAGGGGCTCCCCGGAGCGAAGACGGACGCCACGCACAGCAGGAGGCAGCACAGCTGCGCCGTGCCCGAGATGAAGCCCGTCCGGATCAGGCCGCACCTTTTGCGGACCCAGGTGAAGGCCACGGTGCCGCAGATGCCGGAGATGGCGGAGGCCCCCATCAGCAGGCTGAGGATGGAGCCGTTCAGGCCCTGGGTGTAGGCGTATCCCGTGGTGATGCAGTCGAAGCCCAGAACCGTCATGTAGAGGAAGGCCAGAGACATGCCCGCCAGGAAGATGTCCTGCTTGTAGTACGCCACCCAGCCCGCCTTGAAGGTCTGCAGCGGCCTGCTGACCTGCTGGCAGCAGCCGGACCCGCCGGGAGAGGCCGCCGCCGCCGCCGCCTCGTTCATCAGCGGCTGAGACGACTCTTCGGGGCTTTGGCCGTTTTCACAATCTGTCAGGGAGAGAAAACGTTTAGATCTTCCGGTCTGGAACCTTCAGATCCAGACGCCAAAGATGGAAGGCGGTACCTCTGTCAGCGCTCAGCTGCTTGAGCTCCTGCTGCTCCTTCTGTCCCGCCTTCACCGCCAGCGCCGGCGTCTTCTGGTAGACCTTCCACAGCAGGGCGTACTCCACGCACATGGAGCACAGGTTCCAGCCCGAGATGAAGCCGCAGCCGATGAAATGAGAGCCGAACGCCATGATCTGACCCACCAGCATGGGAGCCAGGATGTTGGTGAGCTGGTCGATGATGCGTACCGTGGCGTTCATGTCTGTGTGAGGAAGGACAGCGAGATCCGCTCGTTACCGCCCCCAGTTCACCGCCATCGCCCCCCCCAGCTCCCCGCGCTGTGGAGGGGATGGAAGCAAGAGGAGGAGGAGAAGTAGAAGAAGAAGAAGAAGAAGCTCACCTGCCAGTTTGCTGCTGTCCTGCCCGGCGACCACCACCACCCAGTCCCTCTGGATGGTGATGGCGGTGGCGGTGCTCGCCAGGTTGGCCATGTTGGCGATGCTGATGACCAGGATGTAGCAGGTGGTCTGGAAGCAACGACATCAGAACCGGGTCAGAACCGGGTCCAGACTGGGCAGAAGTCCAGTCTAACTGCAGTGATATAAGCTGAGCTCTGCAGTTTGAGTCTAAAGAAAAGATTGGACCCAAAACCAGACCTGGACCCAAAACCAGACCTGGACCCAGAACCAGACCTGGACCCAGAACCAGACCTGGACCCAGAACTAGACACAGACCCAGAACTGGACCCAGACCCAGAACTGGACCCAGAACCAGAACCAG